TTTTTTTAATGGAATGTGCTGAATGTCTATAATTTTGTTCAGATGACTGCAGAACCTGGAAAAGCTGTTCCTGCTATTGATGCATAACATACTGCTATTATTAGTCTTTTATATAAATATAAATATATATATACAATTATTTATAAATTGAATTTTGCGAAACTTTAACGGTGCTGTCAACTTTGGAAAAAGTTATCCCAATTTACTGTGTTGAGTTGACATTGTACAGAAATGGACAGCCATATTGGTCTAGAAATGGTAATTTTTTTATTTTTATTTTTTATTTTTTTATTCCATGTGTACAGGGATAACGCATTGTACTAAATATGTAAGGTCATATCTATGTGCTTTTGATTACAGGAACTAATAAAGTATTCTCTAAATAATGAAAAAAAAGAATAAGATAAGAGTACAAGAGCAAGAAGCAATTTAAATATGGTCAGGGACCATTTTCATCTCCAGAATTAAGAATTATTTTAATGTTACATCATTGCATTTTCTCTTTTACTTTCCTTCTTAGTTTTATTTTAGAATTCCCTATTTGTAATGTTCATACAGAGATTTCTTTAACTGAAATACTGAATAGTTTCTTTGGTGTGAAAAACTATAATAGTACACAGGATCCTAAGGAGATAATTAATAAAGTGAAATAGGAAGTAAAGGGCTAAAGGTGTAGGGAAAGTGGGAAGGGTGGGGGAAAGGTAACAAGGGAGAGGAAAAAAATATGAGAAACTGAAAAAATGGAAATAAAGTGTTTGTAAATGGGGAGGGGAGGAGGGGATGAAGGGAGGGCAGGGACAAGGGGAAAAAATGAGAATCAAGACCTATTATGTAAAGCTTCAGGATCCCAATGATGAATGTAACTGTATTGTATACCTAAAATGTACCAATAAACTCAAAGAAAAGAAAAAAAAAAAACACTGCTCTAGGCAATCCTTTGGGAGCTGAGGACCCAGGGGCTTTCCTCTCAAAGCAATGTATTTTTAATTTTTGAATCCTTGATCCTGAGAAATGTGGGGTCTTGCTCATGACCTCTAGTCATTTTTACTATTATCTTGTACAAATTTGGCTTAGTCTTAATGGTAACCTCTTTGTTGTCCAAGCTGTCTTCTGCTCCAAGGTTTCTGGCCACAACTTTATGGAAGCTTCCTTTCTTAGGGAAACTAAAATCTCTTTGAGTGGGATTTTTACCCTTGATTATTTATATCAAGGTGGCTAAAAGCCCCCAATAATACCCATGTCACATTCTCAACTGTATATTGCCTTGAAATTTTCTCTACCAGATTAATTAGTCCACTGCCCTTCACCTTAGTCTCCTGCAAAGGTTCAGATCATGAGGAAAATGTAGACAAATTTACTGCTAGAGTGTAACAGTATGGCTTAGGGTTCAACTGCCAATGGAGTCCTTGTTCCCAACTGAAACTTTCTGAGCCTAGTTTTCTCTATCTGCATTTCTTGAGCACTGTGGTCTTCTGGGCTCTGACCAGAATCTCCCATCAAGCTTAGCTTAGACTATTTGGGGGCTGCTTCTCTAAAACTTCCCCTCTTTAACTTTGAGTGTCAGGTATTTTGTCTCAGCAATGAGGGAGAAGTAACTAAGAATTTGGTACTGAGAGTGGGGTAGTTACTGTGGCTATACCTGACCATGTGGTTCAAAAGCTTTTGATATTAGCTTGTGGAAAGAATTTGGAAAGGCTCAGAGATACTGACCAAAGTAGTAGAGCTGGGATATATTAGACTGTACTTGGTAGGAGATACTGGTCAGTGCTCAGAAGACCACAAGGCTGATAGAAATCCTTTCAGGCTTGGGAGATTTGTGCTGGGAAAAACAGCACTGGCTTTTGGACTTTGGCCCATGAGAGTTATACCTTGGCATAAAGCTGTCTGATTTTTTTTCTCATATCCAGAGATTTTTGCCTGAGAGTAAGATTAAGGGCAGCACACTAATTAATCTTGCAGAAGAAATTTCAAGGCAGTCCAATGTGGAGGTGGTGGTATAGCTACTCTTCGGGTCTTTTAGCCAGATTTATGTTGAGTATCAGGAGCAAAGAGCCCAACAGGATGATTCAAAATGTTGTGAGATTGGCCAGAAAGGAAGCTACAGAAAAGTCGTGGCCTGAAAAGATGGACCAGAGGAGAAATTGGTCACTGAAAAGACTAGCCAGAGAAAGCCAAGTATTTCAGAAGAAGACAACAGAAAACATGGCCGGAAAACATCACAAGAACCAGCAGGACTCCAGCCTTTGCAGCCTCAGAGTTGCAAAGGTGAAAGACTTTGCTTTGAGAAGAGAGCCCCAGAGCACCAGGTTCCAAGTGATGGTCACCTAAGGAATTTGTTCCTTGAGACTTGATTCATAGGCACTAGATCCCTATAGCCAAGAGCCTGGCTACTGCTCCAGCTGGCAGTAGACCTTGATATCATCCACGTGGTGCTGATTTTAGGTGCATGCAGAATGTAAGAGTTGTGAAGTAAGGAAGGTTTCCACTCCAATTCCAGAAAAAGACCCGGGATGCCAGGCAGTGTGCCCCTGAGAGGGCAGTGTGTGAATCTGTGAGTGCAAAGCCAAAAGTGTAGTGGAGACCCCAGAAGTTTGAAGAAGCCAGATATGTGGATCCTCTGAGAAAAATTGAAAGAAGGGAGCAGCCATCTCAAGAAAGAAATTATTGGAGCTACAACCACTGGAAGTGGTATAGGGGCAGATCCACCCAAGCCCTTTGTAGTTCACAACTTACCACAGATTCCTGGGAATTCTGGAAATGGAACTGTGGGATTTTATGTTTTTCCTGCTGGATTTTTGTCTTGCTTTGTTGCCATTCCTTGCTAACCCCCCTGTTTGTAAGTTTTGGAATGGAAATGTCTATCTTGTGCCATTGAATGTTTCTGACTTTTAAAAAATTTGTACAGGAACTTGTAGCTAAGAGTTTGCCTTAAATGTCAGAGGAGACTTTGTATTTGGACTTTTAATCATTGAGGAGACTGTCAGGATTTTGTAAACTCTTAGAAATGGACTAAATGCCTTTTTTCATAAAAGAATGTACATGAGTCTTTAGGGGATCAAGGGTAGGATGTTATGGCTTGTGCCTAGATATCTCTCCAAAGCCTCATGAGTCATAGGTAGAGCTTTTTCAGAGATTTCTAGATCTAGCCAGAATTCATTCAAGCTAGGATCAAGAGCAATAGGATTAATGGTATGAATGCTACCCACCTTAAGTACCCTGAAAGAGCTGTAAGTCACCCCTAGCTTGCTTTCTTTTGCTGTCTTCTGCATGCCATGAATGGTTTTCCTCTCTGCAATGTTCCTCTGCCAAGGTACCCTGACTTGGAGCCATCAGATTATGGACTGAAACCTCTACAAACTGTGCTAAATAAACCTCTCCCCCTTTAATTTTGAGTGTCAAATATTTTGTCTCAGAACAAGAAAAGTAACTAAGACACTCACTTAGGAAGAAAAAACAACTTGCTGTTGATTCAGGGTTGATTTTAAGAAAGTAGATGCTGTGTGCTTATTTTGCTTCTTTATAAGGTTATCATGTACCTCTGAGCTCTGCAATGGCTTTCCCACATCCCCACTTCACTCTAGTACTCTGTCTTGAATGTGCCAGTGAAGTTGTTTTTATTTTTTCTTGTTTTGAAGGGAAGGATTGCCATGAACCTCTAATCACTCATCTTGCTGACATCACTTCCCTAGTAGAAGTTATACTACAGTAACTAAGTTATACTATAGTAAGCTAAGTATGCATAATATAATTTCTAAGATCACCACTAAAAGAAAAAGAAGAGATAAAATATAATAAATATTTGCTTAATCACAAAGAATTTTTTAGTAAAAGGCGAGTAAAAGAACAAAGAATAAAGAAGATAAATAGAAAGAAAGAGTGATGGTAGGCTTAATTCAAAGTATACCAACAATTACAAAAAATATAAATGGACTAAATTATTCAATTAAAACACCACTGTTGTAAAACTTGTTAAAATTTTTTATCAAAAGACTCAACTGTATATAGATAAGACAATTCACACGTTGAATATACAGATTGAAAGAACAAAAGAACAAAAAACAAAAAGACTCTAATAAGTTGCAAGCATAAAGGACCGGAATACCATACAACTAGGAACCAAAAAATTCAGTGTAGCTACAGTAACATCAGGAAAAGTAGACTTTATGATAGGAATGTAAGGATAAAAGGGATAATTCAACTGAAAGGTATAAGAATACTAAGTTTTTATTCATGTCAGAACATAGCTTCAAAATATATTAAAACATGAATTCAATGATTACTGTATTACTGTTTTTTGAGGAAACTAGTACAGACCAGTAATGGAACTCTAATTATTTTCACCATAGGTGTTTTACAGTCTCTGCTGCCCCACTGGCCAAAACAGATACGTGGCCAAAAGATGTGGGCATCCTTGAGCTGGAGGTCTACTTCCCAGCCCAATATGTGGACCAAACTGACCTGGAGAAGTACAACAAGGTGGAAGCAGGGAAATATACAGTGGGCTTGGGTCAGACCCAAATGGGCTTCTGCTCAGTCCAGGAGGACATCAACTCCCTGTGCCTGACTGTAGTGCAACGGCTGATGGAGCGCACAAAGCTCCCGTGGGATTCTGTGGGTCGACTGGAAGTGGGCACCGAGACCATCATCGACAAGTCTAAGGCTGTCAAGACGGTGCTCATGGAACTCTTCCAGGAGTCAGGCAACACTGACATTGAAGGCATAGACACCACCAATGCATGCTATGGTGGCACTGCTTCCCTCTTCAACGCTGCCAACTGGATGGAGTCCAGCTACTGGGATGGTATGTGTTGCCAGGGGCATTGTGCAAGAAAGGAGCTAGGGTCAGAGGCTGAATCCTAAAAGTTCTGCTTCTCAGTTAACCAGGGTTTTGACTGTCTGCTTCATAGGCTGGAAAAATAATTGAATAAAATCACCCATAGGATATAAAAGACAGTAATTTGGCTATTGATATTCTCTTTGTTTACTAAATTTGAATCTAAGGGCACACAGGTAATACCAGCTACACAGAGGTTGAGAGGAAGGTGGCAAGTTTGAACCCAAGCCGGGCAGCTTAGTGAGAACATGTCTCAAAATAAGAATTAAAAGGGGCTGAGAAGGTAGCTCAGTGCTAGAGTTCTCCTGGGCTCTATCCTCAATACAGGGCAGGGTGGGAGAAACCTACAACTGAAAACCATGGAAACCATAGTGCACATTAATTGTAAAATTAATCATAAAGTTTAATGTTGCTAGGGAGCTTAGAAGTACCCTAATACAATATTCTTTTCCTACAAAAAAAGAAGCCAAGAGAAATTTAAGTTTATCTCTAAGTACAGAGCAAGACAGGGAACTCTATCAGCTCATTCACTGTTTTCATTTGCCTTATATATGCAGGTCCCAGGTGCTGTGGGGCAAATGAGAGCTGTTCAGTCTCTGGGGCCAGAGAACCCGGGCTCAATTGCCTGCCATAGCTTTCACCATTAGTGATCCCTTTAATGTGGGATGGTCTTGTCTCGATGTCATCAAATCTATCCTTACAGTCCTTCTCCTGCTTGCATTTCTATTATCTTTAGCAACCCCTACCACCATTACCACCAGTTGGTTCAACCAAGGGTGTAGTTGAGAGTAGAAATGAAGGGCAAGGGGCAGCTACCAGCCTTTAACCAGCAATAAAGAGAGCTTGTCCGTGGGAGCAGTCAGCTTTAAGTATGTCACTTCAGGTGAGTAGATTCTGCTGAGTGGCTGTGTATCCCCAAAGACAGAGCCTGTATGCATGTCTCTTTAATATGACATGTTTTCTTACTGTAGATGACATGTGCTTAGTACTTGGTCTAAAATAAAAAACCAAGTTATTGAAACATGAACTTTTAGGATACAAAACAAAAACAGAAAAAACATATAAGCTTGAGTGAGCACCTGAACTGCACACCTGAAGGTGAACTACATACACACCAAGACCCAGAGAAGCCAGTGTGGCTGAGATCTCTGCTTCTGACCTTGCCCGAGCCCACCCGGGGCCCTCAGGTGCAGGGACTCAGCAGGGAGGTCTGCACCATCCCAGAGAAGACAGCACGGTGTGAAGGAAGGAAAGAGTGGGGCTGGCTGGCAGGACCGGAGCTCAATCCTCAGTACCAAAAAGAGAAAGCTATCGAAGCTTATAGGGAGGAATAAAAACATTTACACACACTAAAGGATGTAAAGTGAACAAGAAGTCCTCTTTTCACCGCATTATCACTTCCCAGTATTAGCACTAATATTTTTCACATATTCTTTAAAAAAAATTTTCACCCCTGCAACATGCATTTATCTATTTAGTGTTAAACATTATACATATTATTCTTCTCTGATCTCTTAGAGCTCATTCTATATCACCATATATAATGTGTACATCTTTTTTTTTTTTTTGGTACTGAGGATCAAACTCAAGACCTTGATCTTCCAAGGCAGGTGCAGTGCCACTGAGCTAAATCCCTGGCTCTACATCATTCTTTTCAAAAACCCACATAATATTTTATTGATGGTTATGTAAAACTTTATTTAATTAGTTCCATATTGGTGGAAAGTCACATTGTCATATTTTTGCAATTACAAAATACATTTTAAGGAACATTTTACAATAGCTTTGCATGCTTGTGGCAATGTGTTGTAAATATAGAATCTTAAGAGTGAAACTGTAGGATATGTTGATTTAAATATTTAATAATATGTGCCTGGGATTTAGCTCAGTGGTTCCGGCACTTGCCTTGCAAGCACAAGGACCTGAGTTTGATCCCCAGTACCAAAACAACAAAAACAAAAACAAAATATTTAATAATATGTGCCTGGGATTTAGCTCAGTGGTTCCGGCACTTGCCTTGCAAGCACAAGGACCTGAGTTTGATCCCCAGTACCAAAACAACAAAAACAAAAACAAAATATTTAATAATATGTGCCAAATTGCTCTCCAAAATGTGGTACTAAATTGTATTCCTAAAATAGACATTATCAAGTCTTGTAATATTTTTCAATTGAATAAGTAAAATAATAGTGTTTTGGTTTGGCTTTCCTTCATGATAAGAAAGCTTGAACTTTTTAATAATGCCTCTTGGCTATTTTTCTACTACACAACTGGCATCTCTGACTTTCAGAAATGAAGAAAAACAGTTTTCTGTTGGCTACAAATACAGTAATACTTCTCAGTTTTTCTTTTGACCTTGTTTCTCAGAGGAGTTTTTCATTTTTAGGTAGTCAAACTTATTGATATTTTTCTAAATGCTGCTAAATACTTTTCTATAGTATCTAAATTTTTTTTAAATGTGAGTGAGAAACATATATATATATATACTTATATACATGCCTATATACACACAAAAGTATTATTTATCCCACAATTATACACTCACACATCAATGGGGCTGGAGAAACAAGTGTTTCGTTGTGGTTGTTATAATTCTTAAAACAAGTTCCCTGGACTTCAGTGGACTTGGGTTGGAGTCCTGATTCTGAAACTTCATCCTATCATTTATCAGGTATGTAGTTTTGAGCAAGTGACTTAAGTTCTTTGTGGCTCAGTTTCTTCATCTGAAAAGAGAGGGTCACTATATCTGCTACATAGGCTTATCAGAAGGACCAAATTACAGGGAAATCTGGTTCCCAACATAGAGCTGTGGGTGAACACTGGGCTTTCTGACAGACTGACAGAAGACATAAGTCACTTTTGTTTATTCACCGGGGCAGTACTTTGATCAGTAGGCAAATAATCATCAAGACAATTTATTAATAGTCCATGAGAAAGTTAGTTACTATTAACCATTTTTATTAAATGTGGCTAATGAATATAAACTTTTCCATAATGAAAGTGATTCCAGGCAGTTCAAAGCGCAAGGCTTAGAGTCCGGCCAGGAGTGGGTTAAAATCACATATTCACTGCGTATGTGATCTTCAACAAATTACTTAATCTTTCAGGAAGTCAGTGGCTTTATCCACATATGTAGATGTTTACTACGTAATTGCACCGTTTAAAGAATTGTCTGAGGACAAGTAACACCTGGCTCCTATTGTGAATGTTAATTTCCCCCTCTATTCCTTGGCCTCCCTTGATTTGGAAGATATTCAGGATCATGGAGTGCTATAAGGTGATTGGCAAAAACAAGCGCCATTAACAAGTTTTCATTGAATTCAGAAATTAAATTCTGAGTAAATGAACATTTTACAACTAGAATGCAAGGACACTTTACATTTCAAATGCATATGAGTTTCACTAGAGTGTAAGCACCACGGGCCTGGGATTATTTGTTTTGTTCACCAGTTGACTTCCAGTATCTAAAATCGTGCCTGGCACCCAGTGGGCAGTCAGTGAACTATAGATTTGGCAGCGAGCACAAAGATTTTTGTCTGTCTTTGCAGGTCGCTATGCGCTGGTGGTCTGTGGAGACATCGCAGTGTACCCCACTGGTAACGCGCGACCTACAGGTGGCGCTGGAGCTGTGGCCATGCTGATTGGGCCTAACGCCCCTCTAGCCCTGGAGCAAGGTTTGTAGTCAATCATGATCAAGAGCCTGTGCACAGCATAGCCAAATACATAGATCTGAATCCCAAAGTAGGCATACCCAACAAACAAACAAACAAACAAACCAAGCCAGGCACAGTGGTGCATGTCTGTAGTCCCAGCACTTGGGAGGCTGAGGCAGGAGGATTGCCATGAGCCCCAGGCCAGCCTGGTCTACACAGTGGGATCTAGGCCAGCCTGGAATACATACCAAGACTTTGTCTAAAAACAAAACAAAACAAAATGGCGCTGTGTACTCAGTCTGGGTTTGAGGATGCTATCATTTGCCTCCCAAAGCGTGTTCTGTTGAGCAGAGGGTAGGTAGGGAAGAAAGAGGGAGCCAGTGAGGGTTCCTTATTGGAATAATGGTGTATGCAGTGAGTGGTATAGATGTGAAGAAGAAACTAAGAGAAGTAAACTGGCGATTGATGCTGAAATAAACCTGATATAAGGTGAGTTGTTCTCTTGAGAATTTTGGCTCCTTCTCCACATTTTGCTAAGCCTATGTGGGTGAGGAAAGGGAAAGATAAGCCTCCATTATGTAATGCTAACAGTCTACTCAGCTCCTTTCAAATAGGTGAGAACTGAGGAGTAGGCTCTGGTTTGGGCTTCGGAAGCTTTTGCGTGGCTCTCCCATCCGCGCTGCTGGGTGTGGGCTGCATTCTGGACTCCCTGACACCCTCTGTGCGCTTTCCAGGACTCAGGGGAACCCACATGGAAAATGCCTATGACTTCTACAAACCGAATTTGGCCTCAGAGTACCCGTTGGTGGATGGCAAGCTCTCCATCCAGTGTTACTTCCGGGCCTTGGACAGATGCTATGCATCCTACCGCCGAAAAATCCAGAATCAGTGGAAACAAGGTATAGGATTTGGAGGGCAAACAGTGGGGCTTTGTTTACATGGCCAAGAATCTGCACCTACAAGTGTAAGACATGGTCTCTCTCCTCTTTCCCTAAAAGCAGTGTCAAAAAATTTGTTTCATATCCCCCTTTTTGTGCTCTTCCTGGGTTAATGCTAAAATCCATTTCAATTTCATTTGCATCCAAGTATGATCTTGCCTATAATGTGAGCTACATAAATAAATCATGCAGGGCCAAAGCCACTCGTGTGAAACCTGTAGGTGTCCCCACCTGGGGTGATACTGTTGTGAGAAAGAGTGGCCACATCGTAGTGAGGCTGGGATTTGTTTCTGTTTAAATCAGGCACAGCTGGACTTTTGGGTGGTCTGATTGATACTGAAAAGTTACGTATGTTTTCTGAATACTGAAGTGTGTAATTTTCTCTAGCTGATGGGGTTAGAGGTTGATTTCATCTTCATTTTTAGTTTTTGAATTCTCTGGCTACAAAACAGATGCCACTTCCATACTCAGAAAGAAGAAAAGAAATATCACTTTTTAAAAACAGAGAAATACCTTTAAAAAATATCCCTACCATCTTAGCCATCTTAGTCTAGATGGGCATCAGCAGAAGCCAGGTTTTGGTGTGAGAAAAGACATGAGCTAGAGAATCAGATCATGGGAGCTTCGGGGTGGCCCTTCTCAAGGATCGTGGGTGGGGCGTGGCCTGCCAGAGCTCAGCCCAGTGGCGAAGGAGTCGTCACAGGCCTCTGCCTCCGCCCATCCACTGTAAAATCGCTATTGGCCGATTTCTCTCACCTCTTCTGAATTCCCGAGGCTTTGAATTTTGCTTTTTTACTTGCATACAGAATTTGTATGGATGCTTCTTTGAGTCGCAGCACTAAATGATAAGCTTTGCTAAGAGCAGAAGTTTCATTACATTCCTTTTAAGAATAAGAGGCCGCCTCAGGGTACAGGCAGAGCCTAGATCCAAAGCTGATCTTTTTAAAATTGAGTAACCTTGAACGTCTGACTCAGTTCAATATTGTAGGGAGTCTGTTTGCTCTCTGGAAAAGTGAGAAAATGATACAATGCCAAGTTACTTTGGAGACGACTTAGTCACTTTCTTGTTACTGGGACACAATACCTGACTCCTGCAAAGTAGAGGAGGAAAGGTTTATTTATTTATTTTTTAGCAGTTTGTAGAGATCGCAGCACACAGTCTGCTGGCTCCTGGGCAGGGTGGCATGGCAGGGAGGCACGGTAGAGGGAAAGACGCTCCCCTCGTGGTGGTTGGTAAACACAGAATGAAGTATAGAGCTGGGGAAGGAGAGAGACCCCTCCAGTCACCCTCCCAGTGACCCACCTCTGCTGGTCCGGCTCCACCTCCTAACACAATTAGCTGTGAACTCCTGGAATTCGCTCTCCTCCCATAAGCCCTCGCTATGATTATGCGAGCCTTGGAGAGATATCGCGATATAAACCATAACAGAGACAGTATCTGTCGAAGAAGTTGGTGGATACAAAGATGCCTCTTTTCCTGTTCATAGATGATACTCGTTAAACGCGTGAATGACGGATGAGCAAAACTTCCGTGTATTTGCTGGAGGTAGGAACTGGGTCTCTGAGAAGTCTAGGCCCCCTTGGCACACTTAAACCTCAGAGGAGAGGTCCGTGTGGCTTATCATCCTGGTACCTCCTCACCTTCACACTTCCTTTTCCAGATGGCATTGACCGGCCTTTCACCCTCGACGATATACAGTATATGATCTTTCACACACCCTTCTGCAAGATGGTCCAGAAATCTCTGGCTCGTCTGATGCTCAGTGACTTCCTGTCATCCAGCAATGCCACACAGAACTCCTCATATAAGGGACTGGAGGCCTTCAGGTTAGTCCACTTTGTGGGGCGCCTCGAGGCTCCTGAGGGATAAACGAGGAAGCAGCTTTCTTGAGTCTGAACATCCAGCTCCCCTGTGGGGAGCAAATAATCCTCCAGTCCAGCTGGACGGGTGCCAGCGCTGATGTGGAGGGATGAGATGGGCCCAGTTGGTGTGGGGTCTTCCGTGAGTGCTCCCAAGTTTGTCTGCACCTCTGGACAAGCGACTGTAAAAAGCGAGAGAATCACACTGTAAACTCCTGGTATACTGAAATGAACGTACCCTGTGACCCCTGCCCTAGAAGATCTCACAGTCTACACAGATGCAGACCCATGGAAACAAATACAGTTCAGGGCGGTCACTTGGTGAGCACTGGTTCATATTCTCGCCTGCCACTGTGATTGTTCGGGGGCCTCAGTTTTTCCAACATGAACATAATGCTGCTCACCTCCTGAGATATCAGAGAGCAGGAAGGCTGTCTGTTGATGCACTCCCCCAAGACACATAGAAGAGAAGAAAAGAGAGCTCTCACTGAACAGTAGATGTGAACGAGGCCAGAAAGTTTCTCAAAGAAGGAATGCGTACTAATCACATAGGAAAATGTGCATACTCATTAGTTTTTAAAAAGTAAGCAAGTTACCATTGTCTCTGTGCAGTTTTTTTAATGTTTGAACACCTAGAACTGATGAGGCTAAGTAAGGGAAAATGGGCAAAAATGAATGTGCAAATCAATACAAATGTTTTGTGGAATTAATGGGAGCATGAAGGAAAAGCTTCAAAGACAGGCATATCTTTAGGCTTATTTCTGCACACGTTTGAAAGAGCACTTAGCTGTGTAGTATTTTAACTAGAGAGGAATACAAGCAGGGGGATTGGCTGAAATATGATGTCTTGTCAGGAACCATAAAAAATAATATCATAGGGGCTTAGGAGTACAGTTTAGTGTGCTTAGCATGAACAGTGCCCTAGGTTCGATCCTCAGCAGCTCCAAGAAATAAAATAATAATGATGATGATTGTTATTAAATAATGACATGGATTACAATATCTTAACTATGGCTCTGTTTCCTTCTTGGGAAAATGATAAAACACAAGGCTGTTTTGGATATGTTTTTTTCCTTTATCTTTCTGTGTGTAGAGGATATTTAGGAAATGCATGGAAAATGAATGAACAAATCTTACGAGTATTTGCTAGACACACATATTCGGAGTTAAGGGAACATGCTAAGCTGGGTGTGACGGTGCATACCTGTATCCCAGCACTTGGGAGGCTGAGGTAGGATTATGAGTTCAAGGCTAGGCAGGGCTACACGATGAGACCTCGCTTCAAACCAAAGGCTGGGGAAGACATGCTAGACAGAGCATCTAGTGTGACTTTATTTCTGCTTGCCTAACAGACTGTAGGAACGTGGGATGTGTTCTATAAGGGACACGTAGCCTATTATCTCTGCATGGCAGGACTGTTGATGGCTTGTTTTCCTCTGTGCATTTTGATGTTTTTTAAATATTATAGACCAAACAAATACATGAAAAAATGCTCTCCATAGCTGGCCATCAGGGAAAATGCAAATTAAAACTACTAAGATAGTATCTTACCCTAGAAAGAATTATCATAAAAAAGTCTAATAACAACAAATGCTGGTGAGGATATCGGGAAAGGAACCCTTCTTCATTGTTGATGGGGAGGTAAACTAGTATAACCCTTGTGGAAATCAGTGTGTGATTCCTCAAAAAAACCAAAAATAGGAATTCCATTTTACCCAGGTATGCTCATTCTAGGTATCTCCCCAAAAGAGTTAAAAGCATCGTACCCATGTTTATAGCAGTACAATTTATAATAGCTAGATCTTGGAGACAGTGCATAGGTCCATCAACAGATGAATGAATAATGAAAATACAATGGAATACTACACTGCCATAAAAAAGTTAAACTTGAAGCTGTAGGTAAATGGATGCAACTTGAGAACATGTTAAGTGAAATGAGTCAGAAACATAAATTCAAATATTGCGTGGTTTCTCTTATATGAGAAATGCAAATAAAGAATAAAATACAAGAGAGATAAATAGGAAATAGGGCGAAGTCCAAATACTTCCCCAAACTACAAATTCCACTGATTTAAAAATATTTCAGTATATATGATAGTTGGTTTTATTTATGCTGCTAGTTTGTCTTAGATCATTGAAAAGAGAGATTTGTGTTATTATTTGTTTGTTTCTTTTTTGGAAGAATCTTTTTGGCTATACTCTAAGTAACTACTTTGAAGATAAAGTTATACAGTGTAAAAACTATTGTTATTCTCATATTTTTTATTATGTAACTTTGATGTTTTTATAAAATAAAAAATTTGACCAAAAACAAAAATATTATAGGCCAGTCATGGCGGCATATGCCTATAATCCCAGCATTTGAGAGGCTGAGGCAGGAAGACTGCTGAGTTCAAGGCCAGCCAGAACTACATAGTGAGACACTGTCTCAAAAATCTAAAAGAGGGGCTGGGGATTTAGCTAAGTGGTTCTGCCTGCCTGCCTCACAAGTGCAAGGTCCTGAGTTACATCTCTGGTACCAAGAAAACAAAAACAAACAAACAAAAAACAACCCCCAAAGATTCAGTAAATACTTAAAATACGTTCCCAAAACCTTGTCTCCAGAAGCTGCTCCTTTTCCCCATTGTTTCCTTCCTCCCCACCTGGCCACCTCTGGCTGCCTTGCAGGAACCTAAAGCTGGAAGAAACCTACACCAACAAGGATGTGGATAAAGCCCTTCTGAAAGCCTCCCAGGACATATTCAACAAGAAGACCAAGGCCTCCCTCTATCTCTCCACACACAACGGGAACATGTACACCTCATCCCTGTACGGCTGCCTGGCCTCACTGCTGGCACAGTGAGTCCCACATCTGGCCCACCTCCTATGTCCCCACCCCACTGGTCTGAGGCCAACCAAGTTTGGTTCCTCTGGGGAGTCACTTTTAAAAGAGAATGAGAAGCTGGGCATGGTGGTGCACACCTGTAATCCCAGCACTCGGGAGGCTGAGGCAGGAGGATCGCTGTGAGTTTGAGACCAGCCTGGGCTACAATAATGAGTCGCAGGTCAGTCTCGATTACATAGTGAGACCCTGTCTCAAAACCCCTGCCTCAAAAAAAGAATGAGAGATGTGAGAGAGGAAGGAGGAAGAGAAGGAAGAAGGAAGGAAGATGAAAGGAACTTGTTTGAAAGTGTATGCATAGGCCGATTTGCCATCTGTGTTAACAGTGCCCTCTAAAGTCAAGTACAGCAAGTCTGGGATATGCAAGATCTACCTGGGTACAGCCCTGGAATAGCAGAACTTGTGTGCATTTTTTTTTTGCCTCATCTATTTAAAATCCCTGCATTTAAGAGAATGTGGTAGCTAAGAAAGTCTAGCTTAGTCGAGGGTCCTAGCACACATCTGTAATCCCAAGACTTTGGGAAACTCTGGTTAGCAAGATTGCAAGTTCAAGCCCAGCCTGGGCAGCTTAGTGAGACCTGGTCTCAAAGTGAAAAAAAAAAAAAAAAAAAAGAGGATTGGAGATTTAGTTTGGTGGGAAAGCCCTGGGTTCAATCTCTAGTGTTACCAAAAAGAAAGGAAGGAAGGAGGGCAGGAAGGAAGGAAGGAAGGAAGGAAGAAGAGAAAAAGAAAACAATCTAGCTTTAGAGTCCACATCCTAGGTTGAAGTCTATTTACTAGTTTTTGACCTTGAAAACACACTTAACCTGGGCGGGGGCAGTGTCATGTTCCTACAGTCCCAGCTACTGGACAGGCTGAGACAGAAGGATATCCCAAGCCCAGGAGTGGCGTGGGTAACATCCAGACCCTGTTTCAAATAACAAAGCAAGCGAGTGAACAAGCAGAAACAACCACCCTGGTTGTGCCTCACTTCCCCCATCTCTAAAATATGTGTAATAACAATCCCTGCTTTCCACATATTTATAAGCATTGAATGTCTAAAAATACGAAAACTGTAGTAGAGCTCAGCAGGTGCTCAATTGTTCGCTGTTGCTTTTACTGGCTTTTGGTTGTGCTGGGTTTACAAACAAATACTGAGTGCAACATAGGAAAAAATATTCACGGGTAAACCAGATCAACTTCTTACTGACGGGGGTCTTGATCAAAGGGCTGAACAATTTCCAGGCAGCCTAGGAGCCTGGGGTGCACCTCCATGTGGACACTCAGTCACTGAACCCATCCTGACCTGCGGAGTGGAGAGCAGTTCCCTTTATACCCCCAGCTCTCTTGTGCTACATATTCTGGATTTTGGGCAAGGTTTCCCACTCCTGGGCTTGGCCCCAGGGTCCACACAGCTTCTCTCTGTGCAGTGTTTGGGGTGCATAGTTAGTTGCAGGAGGTGGACAGGGACAAGTGTGGGCTGACAGGTGGGCTCTTTATTTCTGGTGCAGAATATATTACCAATGTGTGTTGTGTTTTTTTTTTTCTTTCTTTCTTTCTTTCCTTGTAGTCACTCTGCTCAAGAATTGGCTGGCTCCAGGATTGGAGCCTTCTCCTACGGCTCTGGCTTAGCAGCGAGTTTGTTCTCATTTCGAGTGTCACAGGATGCTTCTCCCGGTGAGTCTCATCTTTTTATCAGGCTCCCTCTGATACAATTCTCTGATGCCAGAAGCCATCTTCTGTTTTGCCACTGCCAAGGCTGCTGTGTTGTAAGGAAGAGCAGAGAAAAATCTCTGCAGGGATTTTAAGCAGCGATTTGTCCAACATATATACTTAACGTCCTTCCCTGGCTACTGCTAACAGACTAATTTAAAGAACAAAGACAGATATGGGGAAGCTGCTTAGATCTAGCCACAGAAGGTCCAGGCAAGAGACAATAGGGGTATATTTACACCTGCTTAAAGAGAAATTAATAGAGTTGAGATATCCAATAAGGGTTGATTATTTTATGATTGTTGTGATCAAGGACACATATCTAAGCACTGTATGGGATACAGCTTGACTAAATCGGTGTCCACCTGCATATTTGCTAACACTGATGATTGCTTATCATCACTTGGTATTTCTTAAAAAACTAATTTTATCGGTACATTTTTGGTATACAATATACCGACATCCATCATTGGAGATGTGTACCATTAACATAATTTAATCTTGGTTGTTATTTTTTTTTCCCCATTTCCCTGCCCTCCCTTCAACTGCTCTACTTGGTATTTGAAATCACAAGCAGAGCACCCACCCCCAGGGTGCAATGTGCCTCGGAAGCTGGCTTCCTGGTGACACCAGTGACAACGCAGTAAGGAAGGTTTAACAATCTTGCTTTTGCTCCTCAGACTCCCCACTGGAGAAGCTGGTGTCTAGTGCGTCAGACCTGCCAGAACGTCTGGCCTCCAGGAAGCGTATGTCTCCTGAAGAATTCACAGAAGTGATGAACCAAAGAGAGCAGTTCTACCACAAAGGTAAGAAAAGGGGGCAGGAAGAGAAGAGGAGAAGCACAGTTCCTTTCAGATTCCATGCCACTGCCTAGGAACCAGTGATTGATCAGAAATCTAGCATGCAGTGGGTTAAGTGTTTCTGATGAAGACCTCTCGTTAGAAGGAGCAAGAGCTGTGTAAGGAAGCAGGAAGCAGAGCTGGGAAGAGGTTGGAGGCCACATAGATTTCCAGGTGGACAATGGATGTTGTCCCATGGAAGCTAGAAGGACAGTATTTAAAAATGCTGTGTAAATGTTGCAAGAGCATAGACTTCAAAGCTGAAGATCTAAATCTAAATGAGTGGTGTCACTTACTAGAAATATTGAACTTTTCATCATTACCTCATTTCTAAAATCATACTAACTTGGCAGAATTGCCAAAGAAATTAAGTGAATGCATGTACTTAAGTAAGTTATCAGTGAAAGTTACCATCTCCTCCCAGTCGCCCCCTTTCTCTGCCAAACAGAATACAAAATATAATCCCCAAAACTAACGAATGGAAGGGAAACAAAATCAAAAGTGAGAACTGGAGAGACCAGATGGTCTTCAAACCACGGTGACTACGCGGTTTGCAGAGTGTCTTGAAGAGGAGAAAGAATATATGGAATTGGGAATATTCCAGATCCTTCGGCTACTGATCTCATCTGGAACAGATGTTAGAACAACGAAAAACAATGAGAATGAAAAATAGCACTCCTGAGATGAGCATTAATGTTCAAAGCACCACAGTGCTGCAGTAAATCAGAGCCAAAGATATTAAGATGAAGAAGGAGGTGTATCAGTAAACAGGAAGTTCCGGAGTATACCTCAACCCAAGGTTGAGCACAGAGGAAAAAGGCTATGTGAAGATTTCAGTGGGTGAAGGTAATGTTTACTGTAGGAAAATGTTATACTTCTATCACAAAAGTTTCAATAAGTCAGGCTTTAAGTGCACGATGCAAGATGGCTGCTTCTCTGGTTCTCCGCTGGTCCAGTGTTCACTGGAGGCCTTGCAGCCCCTGGCAGTGGAGCCAGGCAAGCTTCACCATGAATCTGTAGGAATTTTTATTCCTACTTTCTCTTCCCCCAACCCCTGTAGCTTTTTCTGAGTACCTTTTTTTCCTCATTGCACAGCAAATTTCTCACCACCTGGTGACACAAACAACCTTTTCCCGGGTACTTGGTACCTCGAGCGAGTGGACGAGATGCATCGCCGGAAGTATGCCCGGTGTCCCATCTAAAAGTGGTGAGTGAGAGCTTTCAGGGTTAACTCCCTGGGTGGCTTAAATCCCTGAGGTCTCTGTCCAGGTAACAGGCAGTTCTGGTACAGTAACCTGGCCAGAGAGGGTCCATAGTTTCCAAAATGACTGGGAGATGGGATTTTATGCACAGGACCAGTGAGAATCCCTGGGAAGGCAGAAGCTGGGAGAAGATCACCCCATAAAATGAAAAGAGACTTGTTTTTCTGATCTGCTCTAGGTAGGAAACTGTCCTAGAGGCTCCAGAGAGGAGGAAGCAGGCAGTAGAGCAGAACTGGCAGAACTCATTGCTTCAAAGGGACAATGAGAAAGAGGAACAGCTTCTAAAAAGGTTCCTACCAGGGCGTTGGGCACAGAGTAATGAGGAAGCAGGGTGGCCCTGGTTTCCGTTAGAGCCAGAAGCTTTGGCTAAAGGGTGATTTGGATTAGGGAGCCATTGGATAATTGTTAGGTCACAAAATTCCTTCTGAGGAGAAGCAGTGAGTCATTGGAGTATGGTGAGGCTGAGTGTAGGAAGAGATGAGTTTAATGAAAGAGGACTGGGGTGAAAGAATAAATGGAAGAATTCTCTAAGGTATTTCTTTAAGGAAATTCAAGTTTTAAGAATAGGAGTTTTATAGCTCCTGTTTCGTGTATCTATCAAATAGATAAGCAGGAAGGGCTGGGGACTTAGCTCAGTGGTTCGGTGGCCTGCCTTGCAAGCGCAAGGACCCAAGTTCAATCCCCGGTTAAAAAAAAAAAAGACAAACCTAAAAAACAAACAGATAAGCAGGAGAGTGAGAAGCAACTTTGTCACACAAAACTGTCAGTGTAAGCCCCACTCAAGTTTTTAACTTTTTAGCTCCCTTGGAAAGCAAAGAGGGACAGCTAAAAAGGTCTGCCAAGGGCAAAGCATAGAGCAGGGGAGAAAAGGAAGAGTCCATGGATAAGGAGAGACTCGGAAAAGCCTCACAGGGGAAGGCAGGAAAAGCTAAGATGGGTGCCCAGACTTTCCCTGTGGCCAATGAAATATTCTCAGTTGCTCGCATCCTCTGCTGGGCTGCTGAAGTGCCGTCGCTGAGCTGTTATTGGCAAGGCGAGGTGGGCATGAAACTGCCAGACCCGGGCTGCAGAATGAGATTGAGGACAAGGTCTATAAGTAGTCTTATAAGACTTTGATACTGCCAAGGAAGTTGTTGGAAATATAGTCCTTAGGGGCACCTTGTTGGCAAACAGAAGGCTAAATTCAATCATGAGAAAGACAGAAGGATAGACAGACAGATATGCAGACAGACAGAACAAGGGCTTTTCAAAGAAGAATCTCCACAGACAATAGGAAAGGGAGCTAGATGGTTTGCAAACGGGAAGGGGACCAAGAGATGGGAGAAGGTGGGGGAGAAAGATGAAAACAGAATTAAGATGTGGCCTGGGGATTTAATTCAGTGGTGCTGCCACCTGCTTTGCAAGTGCAAGGTCCTGGTACCAAAAAAAAAAAAAAAAAAAAAAAAAAAAAAAAAAAAGAATTAAGATGTGTTATGTACATTGTCTTAGTTACTTTTTTTCTTGTTGCTGAGACAAAATACCCAACACCTAAAATTAAAGGAAAAAAGGTTAATTTAGCTCATAATTTGTAGAGGTTTCAGCTCATAGCTGTCTGGCTCTAAGACAGGGTGGTACTGGAGAGAAGAAATAGCTCATGGTGGGCAGAAGTCAGCAACAGAGCAAGCTAAAATCAATAAGCAACAAGTGACCATCTAGCTCTCTTTCTGTCCCTTATATTTTTATTCAGGCTACACACTCTTTAGGGTGGGCAACACTCACAACCTAGGGGTGGATCACCCTTAATCCTATCCAGAACTAATCAGTAATCACACACCCTTGATCCCAGCACCACACAGTCTAGATCTAGCCACCTCTGAAAAGGCCCTATCTATGACTGCATGGGGCTTTGTGGGGACATCTAGACACAAGCCATAAATACATGGACCAACTCTCCCCATGGTGAATATAATCATTATGTACTGCAGACATGTACTGATAAAAATAAAAACTAATGGTGGGAGTGCAGACTGATGCAACCACTATGGAAATCAATATGGAGATACCTCAAAGAACTAGGATTAGATGTTCCATTTGACCCAGCCATCCCTCTGTTGGGTATCTTTCCAAAAGAATTAAAAGAATCATACCACAGTGATATATGTGCACCCATGTTTATAACGGCACAGTTTGTAATAGCTAAAACTTGGAAACAGCCCATCTGCCCATCAGCTGGTGACTGGATAAAGAAGATGTGATTTTTCTATAAAATGGAATATTACTCAGCCATAAAGAATGAGAAAGTAGATTCATGCATAGGTAAATGGGTACATTTGAGGGTATACTCCTAAGTGAAATAAATAAGTCACACATAAGCAAATACCGAATAGTTTCTCTGGTGTGAAAAACTAAAATAGTGCTCAAGATCCTAACAGGACAATTAGCAATGTGAAATAGGAAGAAAAGGACCAAAGGTGTAGGGACAGCGAGAAGGATAGGGAAAGGGGAACAAGGGAAAAGGAAAAAAATATGAGAAAATGTAAAAATGGAATTAAAGAGTTTGAAGGTGAGGAGGGGAGGAAGGGATGAAGGGAGGGTGGGGACAAGGGGAAAAAATGAGAACCAAGACCTGGCATGTAAAGGTACAAGATCCCAATAATGAATGTAACTGTACTGTCTACCTAGAATGTACCAATAAATTCAATTTAAAAGAAAAAAAAAACTAAAAGAGAAAAAAGTTTAAAGAGGCATATACCATTTATACCATTTAAAATAATAAATAAATTCAAAGGAGAATCTCCAAGTCAAGTCCCTTCCCTGACAAAAGCATTGCACCTACAGAGAAAACTAAAACTCTTATACTTTTCTATGGCTGGTCGTCACATGAGCAATGAGCCTATTGCAGTGAGATTTTAACTGTAACAAAGGCTTGATGTCTATGCAATGCTCTGTGGCGCTCTGTAGGTCTCGGCACCACCCCAGCCCAGTCTACTCTCCCATCACAGGCAGAGCAGAGTGGATGATGTGAACCCTGCCCAACCCCAGCCCTAGCTCCTGTAATGTGGGGTGCCAAGCCTCTCTGGAGTTTAGGCTTGAAGCTGGGAGGACAATAGGAGTACCCCAAACCTCAGAATGCACAGCCACACCTAGCGCAAGGAACAGGTTCTGGGTGGTCCAGTGAGCAAGAGGAGACTCATCATATAATATTTTGCTTGTTTCTTTATGTTCTATAGGTCCATAGAACAGTTCCTGTAGAGAACCACTAGCAAAGCCTCTGCCATGGATCATGTTTAAAATTCTGCCTTTAGCTGGTAAATGAATTTGACTCTACCCACTAGCCACCCCCAAACATTGGCCCTGAAGACAAGGATTAAAGCTCATCTGAAGAATGAAACCAACCAAAGCTCTTTCAAAGAAAAACCACTGAAACTCCTCAGAACAAAAGCAGTCGTCACGAATCTCCTCCCAGAAAGATCAGCTGACATCCTTCCTTCCCATTCTTTTTATACTGTTCTGCCAGCAATCCCCCTTCAAGTGGGTCTTCCAAGCCCAGAACCATACTGACTCAATTCAGCTGGGCATCCCATTCGGGTGGACAATTAATCAATTAGCCACCACAATCCACCCTTTGTCAACTTGATAACAAGACAGATCTCCTTAAACTAGTCTCCAGTAAAAGATTTGTAAAGAACTAATAGGACTTGATCTATTCAGACTTACAATGCTACAACAATTACATGTATACAATTCTTATTGTTCTTATTTCCACACGTTTGAAACAAATATTCAAAGGGTTCTTAAAATTCAAAATGAAAACTACAACATTTTGACCAAATAACCTGATTACAAACAGGTGTCTAAAAACTACAAATGTACCTAAAAGCTTTATAACAACCCCCTTCTGTCTATATTACTTCATTCCAAAATCTTAAAATGTGTTTAATACTAATCAGTGATTAAAATATCAAAAAGCAAATAAAAAGAAAAATCATTTCCACAAGTAAAGAAGTAATAATTTGCTAACAAAGTGCAATACATTCACACCCTTATTCCTGAAGGATCAGGACCAGTTGTCATTTTGCCTGGATTGGGTTGTTGTTGTTTCCCATTGACTTTAATAACAGGGCACAGTAGTACTAGAAGGCCCCCCCCAATAGATCTCCTGCACGCTAAGGATATTCCTCCTTACTCTAAAATTCTAGAGGTCCCCACTGCAATTCACGGATGGAGTCGGTGAGAGATTTCATGTGCGATGGTGGAATTGATATGGTGAAATGCTGGATCAAGGGTACTTGAATTAAGGGCATGAGTGCTACCCACCCTAAGTAGCCAGAAAAGATCTAAGGGATAGAAAGAGCTGTGGATGTCTCTTGCTTGATTTGCTATCTTCTACCCACCATGAACTATTTCTCCTCTGCAATACCTGTCACCCTGCCTCAGAGTCAGACAAACATGGACTGAAACCTCTACAAACTGTGAGCTAAATAAACCTTCCCCCCTTTAAATTTGAGTGTCAGGTATTTTGACTCAACAATGAGAGAGAAGTAACTAAGTATCTGGTATCAAGAGTGGGGTTATTTACCATGTGGCTCAAAAGCTTTTGGGTCTGGCTTGTGGGAAGATTTTGGATATGTTCAGAGATGCTGACTGAAAATGTAGAGCTGGAATACCTTACTCTGAACTTGATGGGAGATTCTGATCAGTGCTTAGAAAACCTGAAGGCTGATAGAAATCCTGCTGGTAAAGACCAGGCTCAGGAAGGACTGGGAAGAAGTCCAGGAACTGGATAGACACTGAACATTTGACCATAGAACACCAGGCTACCATGCAACTTAAAGTCTAGTGGGACAAAGGACAACATTAGCTGTTGAACTCCACATGATATGTTTTAAACCTTGGTGAAAAGTTTGTCTGCATTTCACTTGTGTCCAGAGACTTTGCCTGAGATTCAGTTTAAGGGCAGCACACTAATTAATCTTGCAGAAGAAATTTCAAGACAGTCCAATGTGGAGGTGGTGGCATGGCTACTCTGTGGACTTTTAGCTAGATTTATGTTGAGTATCAAGAGCAAAGAGCCCAGCAGAATGATTCAAAATGTTGTGAGATTGGCCAGAAAGGAAGCTACAGAAAAGTCGTGGCCTGAAAAGATGGACCAGAGGAGAAATTGGTCACTGAAATGACTAGCCAGAGAAATCCAAGTATTTCAGAAGAAGACAACAGAAAACATGGCCTGAAAACATCACAAGAACCAGCAGGACTCCAGCCTTTGCAGCCTCAGAGTTGCAAAGGTGAAAGACTTTGCTTTGAGAAGAGAGCCCCAGAGCACCAGGTTCCAAGTGATGGTCACCTAAGGAATTTGTTCCTTGAGACTTGGTTCATAGGCACTAGATCCCTATAGCCAAGAGCCTGGCTACTGCTTCAGCTAGCAGTAGACCTTGATATCACCCATGTGGTGCTGATTTTAGGTGCATGCAGAATGTAAGAGTTGTGAGGTAAGGAAGGTTTCCACTCCAATTCCAGAAAAAGACCCGGGATGCCAGGCAGTGTGCCCCTGAGAGGGCAGTGTGTGAATCTGTGAGTGCAAAGCCAAAGGTACAGTGGAGACCTCAAAAGTTTGGAGAAGCCAGAAATGTGGATCCTCTGAGGAAAACTGCAAGGAGGAAGCAGCCATCCCAAGAAAGAAGTCATGAGAGCTACAACCCCTGAAAGTGCCACAGAGGCAGAGCCGTCCAAATCCTTTCTAATTCACAACTTGCCACAGATTCCTGGGAATTCTGGAAATGGAACTGTGGGATTTAATGTTTGTCCTGCTGGATATTGATCTTACTTTGTTCCCATTCCTCGCTATTTCCCTGTTTTTAACTTTGGAATTGAAATGTCTATCTTGTGCCATTGAATGCTGGAAGTGTTTAACTTTCTTTTCATTTGTACAGGGGCTTGCAGCTAAGTTTGCCTTATATCAGAGGAGGCTGGGCTTGGACTTTTCAGCAATGCTGAAAGTGTCAGGACTGGATTTGTTGTGAAGCCTTTTCCTGTCTTGGTTCTACTCCAAACTGACAGCTTTCCAAGTCATTCTGTAAATTGGCTGAAGTAAAATACTTAAATGAGGAATACATTGCCTCCAAAATCCAAATAGGTCCATTAGGTCTTGTGCCTAGTTTTTAGTTATAGGGGAAGCCAGATGCAACAACTTATGTTTTACCTTAAAAGGAGTATGTCTACATGTCCACTGGATTCATAGAAATTTTGCTGAGGAAGGACCTTGAATTTAGTGGATATATTTCCCACCATCTGGCTCTCAAATGCTTTACTAATATACCCAGAGTGGTTGCTATCTCTTGATCACTTGGCCTGATTAGCAAAATATCAATGTAATGGACCAGTGCAATACCTTGTGGGAGAGAAAGGCAATCCAGCTCCTTGCAAAATAAATTGTACTAGAAGGCTGGACAGCTAACAGAATCCCAAGGTAGGACTGTGAAGGGTGTATTGCCAGCCTTGCCAGCTGAAGGCAAATTGTTTCCGGTGGGCCTTATGGACAGGTATGGAGAAGAAGGCATCTGCCAAATAAATAGCTGCATATCAAGTACCAGATGCGTTAATCTGCTCAAGTGATTAACATCTGGGATAGCAGCTACAATTGGAGTCACCACTTGATTCAGTTTATGGTAATCTACCATCATCCTCCCAAATCCATCTGTCTTTCGCAAAGGCCAAATAGGAGAATTAAATGGAGATGTAGTGGGAATCACCATCTCTGCATCCTTCAAATCCTTGGTAATGGCACTAATCTCTGCATTGATTTTGATTTACTATTTTTGCCAGGCAAAGGCAACTCTAATAGCTTCCACTGTCTTTCAAACTGCAACAGCCCTCACTCTACAGTTAAAGAACCAATGTGAGAGTTCTGCCAAGTACTGAGCATGTCTATTGCCATTATACATCCTGGAACAGGGGAAATGACTACAGGATGGAATCAAGGACCCACTGAACCCTCTGCGAGTTGGAACTTTGCTAAAACTCTGTTGATTCCTGACCTCCATTGCCCCCTACTCTTACTGGAGGGTCACAGCGGCATTTTGGATCCCCTGAAATCAGCTTTAGCTCAGAACCAGCATCCAGTAACTCCCCAAATGATTACTCGCTTCCCTTTCCCCAGTGCAGTTGCTCTGGTAAAAGGCCTTAGGTCACTTTGGGTAAGGATGGCAGAGAGGCTGACCACGTAATTTTTGGTGGGACCCCAGGGTCCTTCCTCAAGGGGACCCAGCATCCCTTTCATTCAAGGTGTTCCGGCTCTGTAAACTGCCTCAAATCTGGGAACTGGTTGAGGGGCCGTGTTACTATGATTTGAAGTAGGTTCTATTCATTTGCCCTTAAATTTTTTTCACCTATATAAATCAAGTAAAAATTTTCTAGGCTTCCTGTTTATTTCACTTTTGGGAAGGCCATGGCTGATAAACCAACACCATAGATCTACAAGGGCCAAACCATTCTGATCATTGCTCTGCTTTTGCTGTCCATTACAATAAACTTGTGCACTCTGCTTTGGCAATTGTTCTGCCACTTGACCCCTGCCTCTCTAGGATCCAATCAAGCCCATTGCCTTAGTTTCTCACAGGAGTAACTGCAGTCTTCACTCTAAGGTCCAGCATACAGAGGACGGCAATGACGGGGCTCTTCAGGGATCCTAGTGCTCCCCTAAGAGATCTGCTTCTCAAGGGGTTGGTGAAGGGTTCATTTTCTGGATCATCTCAGCTTGGCAGATTGTTTGACAAGACAAATCTACTCCAGCACTCCCATTTCCCTACACCTCTGAATCCCTTCATCAACAATAAACCATGAAATATCAGGCATCTCTGACTCACAGGGTGTCATCTTTTGACCCATACTTCTGCCAATCAGCCAGAGAAACTATTGACATCTTTCTTTACTCCACGAGCCACAACATTAAATTCAGAGTCCCTGCTGAGTGGGCCCTCATCACCAACTCAGCCTGATCTAGGTGTATATTTTTGCCATTATTCCACACCCTAAAATCCACTCCCACACATACTCATCAGGTCACTGCTTGTGAGAATTAGAAAACTCAAAAAATGCTGTGGGAAAGTAGTGGACCTCCTCGTGCGTCACACTATGTTCCTCACCTTTAGGAGTCTTCCGGGATTTGAGCCTCGTTATGGGTCTAGAGGTAAAAGTGGGTGGTGAGGGTGGATCCTGAGGAGTGTCAGCATTATGTGCTTGGATATTAAGTTTAGTTTTCTAGGGTATGCTGGGAGGGGCCGATACCACGGAGGTGGTATTTTGTGTGGGGAAACCTCCTCTTCTGTCAAAATAGTCTCACTAGAGTCTAAGAGCTCAATATCCTCGGCCTCGTTGAGATCCTCTCAAACACCTCTATTCCAGTTTATGGGATCCTATTCTTTTCTGATTAATGTCCTTACATGTACTTCAGACATCTTCCGAGGCTGAGTGTTAACAGTATTTTAACTAATCGGATAACGAAGGCCTGCGTTTGGGATTCTGTGCTCTCTGATTTATGGCAAAAACACAGATTTTCTTTCAGGATACACTTAGAAACTTTTAACTTTTTTATGTGTCTGGAGCTGGGCACTCGCATCTTTGAGGTCCTGATTTTCTTTCACTAATTTGCCCTCACAGTAGGAAGACTTTAGATTTCCTATGGATGTTTTGAGTTCATTGTTTTCCACCAGCCAGCATCATATTTCCCACTCGGCCAAAAATATTCAAAAGATTCATATAAAGTCTCTAAATTTCTTCCATCTCACAAGTGGTGAGTTGGATAATCAAATGGATCTACATCAGGTATCATTTTAAGCAGTTTATGCCAAGGGCTACCAGTATACCCCATAGTATTAGGACGAGGGACCATGACATCTTTCAGGCTCATCAGATTAGAGTATCATCAGCTCCAGGAATCCTTAAACCCATTGAAATTCTCATCTTTACAATTCTGTTTCTCTAGAGTCACTCCTGGTACAAATGTGTATTAGTTGGTGCTTTCTAGTCAGACACAGAAGAGTTCATACCAAAGGATCTGTGCCAGAAAGGCCCAAGGCCCAGTGCTGGAAGCCTATACCAGAAGGCTGAAGGATCTGCCCTGAAAACCAGGAGACGACGTTCATGATGAAGACAAGTGTTGCCGCTCCCCTGAAGAAAGAAAATGGCCGAAGCTCTTTAGAAGGAAAACCACTGAAACTCCTCCTTAGAAGGAAAACCACTGAGGAGGTGCAATGAAGCCTCTCCAAGGAAGATCAGCTGAAATCTTTCACTCCCGTTCTTTTTGCACTGTTTTGACAAGTCTTCCTTAAAGTGGGTCTTTCAAGCCCAGAACCATGTTGACTCAATTCAGCCAGGCAATTCCCACTCAAGCTGACAATCAGTTACCACCACTACTAACTAAGGGGGTGGTGGGCGGTCCCTGCCAGTGCCACGTAGCTACCCAGTGCCAGGTTTCCCTAGGCAGTCAGGAATGGATTCTTCCCTACTACAAGGGGGAAAAGCTCTCAAAAGAAAAGCTTTCTGCAGCGAGTGCCATTCTGACATCATGAAAATAATCTTTAAAAAAGTAATATCCTATCCAATTCACAGGGCTTTGTATTTTCTTCCCTGCAGGAAATCCTTCTAAATATCTCCTCAGAGATATGAACACCACCCAGCTTAGAGCACATTTTCCTTGGGACTCCAGTCTCCTCCCACACACCCCTGGTCCCTCACTCATGCGTCCAGTGACTTATACACTCTGCCTCCCCACTCCCAGGAGAATTCTATAGGAGGGGTCAGGTTTGAATTTCCTAAAAGCACTTGTCACACAGTGCTGTGCTCGTTTGCTGAATTTTACCCATTAATATGCACATATATCTCAATGGCCACAATCTGAAACACCTTGAGTTTGCTCCTGTGAAAATTCCTCTAACCCTAGAGAAAGGGGTAATTTTCAGATCAGCCACACTCAGGCCATTTACCCATCCCAGCCTCCCTCCCCACCTCTGACCCTCTGGCAGCCAAAAACTCATGCCCTCTCGTGGTTCTTTAGGACAATGACAGCAGGAAGACAAGGCTGGGAGCACTGTCTTTATTGGATGGTTCCTGCTGTACTGCAGGGTCAGAGGATTGCAGCAGAGCAGCGTCAAAGGCCCTAGTCAGCCCCAGGAATGTTGATCGCCTCTCGCTATTGCTCAGGGTGGTTAGATTTCTTCACAGAAGCCCCAAGGCGCAGACAGTGAGCCCCAAGGTTAGAAGTAGAACTGGAAGGCCTCAGACACCTGCTTCTTCCACATTTCCAGACTGGGCAGGAGGGAGGAGATGCCCATGACGTGCCAAGTCTCCCCATTGGACACCATTGAAGTCTGGTAGGACAGGAGCTGCACGCCTGCCTCTGCCAGGAGACCTGGAAGTAGAGGAAACCCCTGGTTGGCACAGGGCATGGGAGAAGACCTGAGGGGCTGCGAGTGGTCAGAATCAGGCAGCCATGATCGAAGTGGCAACGGATCACGCTGGTCTCAACATCAAAGAGGTGAGGTGGAAAGAACAAGGGATCTGCTGGTTTCTCTCAACATTCCAGAGACTTTTGAGGCCCGCCCTGACTGTCAGGCATAGAGCTGCAGCTCCTGACTCGCTGATTTGGTTTTCTCCAGCCCAAGAGTGTGGGGGGGGGCACACAGACAATGGACAGGGAAAGCTCCTCTGGGCAGCTGGCAAAGATGTGCCAAACTGGGCTTTGCTGTAGCCAGGCTGGCGGCAGAAGAGGGAAACCTGCCCACAACGGCCCTGAACTGCTGGAACAGGGCTCAAGTGCAAACAGCATGGCCAACACAGCTCGGGCCTGGCTGTGACCAGGCTGCTAACAGGTGCTCCTGTCCCACTGTTCTGTGACCGTAGACAAGGCACTTGCTCCGCTCCAGGGAGATCCAGACACTCTCTGAGGCACACAGGAAAGGAGCAAATCTGGGGATCCCCATCTCTGGACCTACCCCACCTCTGTCCCAAGGGCCCTGGCCAGCCCCCCGGCCCAGGCCTTTCTCACCAATCGTGGTAGGCAGCACTGCGGGGCTGGAGTGCTGAGCTCGGAAGATGAGCAGGGGCAGGCCCCGCTGGAGAGGCACTTCTGGCCTGAAGACTGCTCCGCTGAGCGCCTGCAGCATAGGCATGGTGCCCTGGACTGAGCCCACAGCCTGGTAGGGGGCACCTGCCAGGGCCACAGTCAGCAGGCATTCCTCATGGTCCCGCTCCCCAGGGGCGGCAGGGCTGTGGGAGGTGGTGACCTGCAGAGAGAAGGCAGGGGTGGTTATTCCTGGCTGCATTGGGTCCGCTGGGCCTCATCACCTATGTGCAGGGGTCCAGTCTGTCCAAAGGGCTCAGAAACTCAGGGCCAGGGCAGGTGGGGTCCTTCTGTGCCCTGTGCGTTAGCTTCAGTGTGCAGGGACCTCCCTGAAGGGAAGAGCAGGAGAGGTAGGAACTGGAGAGGACTGGGACGGAAGGTGAGAGGCAGAACCGTGAGAAGCACTCAGCAGCTGTCTTGCTGACCCAGGGTGGCCCCTCCTGATCCAAGTTCCTGCTCCCCACAGTCAGCAGTGGCCTGACTTGGACATAGGAATAGAGACAGAATTGGGGGCACTGGTGGGGAGAGCTACACCATTGCCTCTGTCGGGTCCTATTGGCTCAGAACAGGAGGGGAGGCCCTGAGAAGCAGCAGGCGTTGCCTTCTCCCAGACAAACTAACTCATGTGCTGGATCTGTGGTGTAAGGAGCACTGAATGGAGCGAGGCAGAACGCACCGGGCCATCACCAAGGCCTCCATTCGGACACAGCCTTGTTCATCTTCCCTGGCTGTGCAGTAGGGGGCGCCATACCGCCTCCCATTCATAGACGGCACTTAGCTATCTATAGGTAAAAGGCTTTCAGAGGCGTCTGGTATCCGGAAACACTCAGATGTAGGTGTCACCTTTGTGTTGTACATGAAGACATCATGGCTACCTCTTACAGGGAAACAGGGTAAACTGGGCCAATGGCAGGACTTGCACCCTGAACTGCCACTCATTGAGACAGCTGGGAGCCCACAGCAAATGAGAGGCGGAAGGGCAGGGCTGACAGGGAATGGGCTGCGAGGCGCACATTGAGGCCAGCCTCTTTCACCAGCAGCTTGGCGTTCACCAAGTTCACATCTGTCTGCTTGGAAGCTTCCTTCAGGAGGCCGACAATGACGGCGGGGCTTAGGCAGTTCCCAGCGTTCTTCAAAGATGTTCCTGGGGACGGAGAGGAACTACAGTAAGGTCACTGCTCACTGAGCACCACAGGTGGGCACAGGAAGCCACAGGCCCTTAGCTCTGGGCTATGGGCTCTTCTGTGCCCTGGGGACCACTGGCCCAGCCTGGACCCAGCAGTCTGCCTCCAGAATGCTCACAGACAGGCAGGGGAGACTATCGGGGTCCAAGCTGGAAAACCCAGGACACTTCGGCCAGCTGGAGAAACTCCTCTCCGAGACTCAGCCGAACTCCTCTGGCCACCCTGGCCTGCCTCTCGTCTCCTAGGAGACACTGGGAAATTCCTTCCTATCTGGCACTCAGACCCTTGCCAGCCTCAGGAATTGAGCAGAGATGAGCAACTAGTGGGTGACCTTCCCTGATATCGCTAGTGCTACAGCCTATCCCCGCTGCCCCCCACCCCGGCCCATCTCTCCACAAGCGGAAGGGGCCAACAGTGAGTGAGGCAGGCCAACTCTCCAGAGGTTAAGGGACATGGAGCCCTCCCTGGTCACTCAGCCACTGGGCTGGCTCCACCACAAAGGCAGCCCCAGCCCCGGCCTGCCCAGCAGCCCAGAGGTGGAATGTCGCTGTTGTCTCACTAGCCACGTATAAAGAATCCAAGGCTCAAAGGAAGAAAGTCACCCAGCAGTTTGAGCCACAGGGTGAGAACCAGAATTAAATGGTCTGGATGCTGAATCTGGGATTCCCTCCACTGGTTTCTCTGCCTTTTGCACAAAACTGTCTCTGTGAGTGTCTCTCTTGCGCCAAACACGTCTATCCTAAAAATATTGCCTAAACAAGATTTGGGAAAATTAAATATACTTTCCCAATGGCTTGTTATAGTCCTTACCCTTTGCCCACACACAGTCGTAAGTGAGCTATACTCAGAGAAGAGCCCAAGTCACCCAAGTCTCACCAGCTGTGGGCAAGCAGTGGACACATTCAGCAGGGACGGATCCACACCCCTTTCCCACTCCCTGTGCTGTGTGTGTGGTCCGCAAGGTCCATGCTCACCCTGTGTTAGCACCTGGACGGTTCCTTTGGGGGAGCCAGCCCAGGCCTGCATCAGTGTCCCCAGAGCTTCTGCCAGACCAATCCAAGGCTTGGTGTGTGGAGAGAAGGCACTAGTAAGGGCCTGGGCATTCACCTACAGAAAATGGGGAGAAAGGGCAAGATCAGACAGAGGAAAGTAGGGGCCACACCTACCAGACCAGTGACCAGATCAAGGTTTTGTTGCCATGAGCCAGCTCTACTTGGAGGGAAGGTACGGGGCTATTCATGCCTTGGGTGCCTCGTGAGTGACAACTTCCATCCTCCACCAACAAAGAGATGATGACCTGGCCCTACTGGTGAGAAAACTTCAGACCCAGAAATGGACACAGAAGGCTCAGACCACACACATCCCCCCTTGTGGCAGATTTGCCTTTGTTCAGTGCTGGAGAAGGGTCTGAACAGCACGTTAAGCCTGGGTCTTTAACCTGCAGATGACGGCCACAGGGGAGCTGGAGTTGGAGGCGTGGTTCTCTCTGGGATAGCACTCCTAACTTACTGAGTTTTTATTTTCTATCTTGGTTTTTTTCTAACGTGAATGTTCACCTTGTCGCTAAACGCTATGCTCAATCACCACAATACATAAAGCTGGAGCCACACAGCTCTGACGATCCAGTCAGGCTTCTAACATGGAAGCAAATCCATCAACCAAGAGGCGTGCTAAGAATAGAAGAGGCAGAGCCACTCCTGAAGTTCCAAGTCCGGGGCATGCCCAGTTGGATGTTCCCCAAGGACCTGACAACACAAAAGCAGCCTATGAAATTCCTATTGCATTTTGAGGCTGCACGTAAGAGTCATCTAAAAATCTAATAGAAAACCTGGGATTTGATGGAAATCAAACAGGCAGCGACAAGAGGTGATAGGAAAACATTGTGCTTCTATTTTTGTTTTCATAAAGATATTGTAAGGCCGGCACGGTGTTGCACGTCTGTACTGTAATCTCAGCACTCAGGACGCTGAAGCAGGAGGATCACAAGTTCAAAGGCCAGCCTAAGGTACATAACAAGCTGGAGGTCAGGTCAGCCGGGCCTCCATGGCAAGACTTTGCTTGCACTCCTCTCAAAGGATATCAGTGGAAAAGTATTTTTTTAAAGGAGAATCTTGGTGTTGGAAATGACCATTGAGGCAAGGAAGCCTGGTGTGGCTGCTTCCTGTGGAAAGGCCTCTCTCTGTCCTCTCCAAGAGGGTAGAGAAGAAGAGGAAGCAGAGACAGCAAGCTGCTGAGAGGAAGTTGGATTACTGTGAAACAGAGAGCATGCTCCATCAAGACGCCCCGAAAGAATGTGGGGCACCACGGCCCAGCCCTGGGGAGGTGCTCATCGCAGCTCGGAGGACTAAAGGGAGGCCCAGTCTTCAGTCTCTAAAAGAGAAGGACGAGGGCTCCAGGCAGAGTCTGGGGCCTTTGGACACCAACCTGACCCATTTGTGCAGAGGTTAGAACAGAAATGAACTGGCGAAGATGCAATAGAGAATTGGTGCTCTGGGTTGGATCTGAAATTCTCACATGTGCAGAAGGTGATTGGATCACGGGGGCACTGTAGTCGTTCAGGACTCATCCACTAGGTGTGCCGTTAGGAGGTGAAGCCTTGGAGGCAGGTCAGAGACTGTCCTGCAAGGGCTGAGCACCTTTTCCTCTCCGTGTCCCTCCGCTATCCTGTTCCTGCCTTGGAGCCGGCTGACCATGGACTAAAACACCTTGAGCCAAAATTAAGCTCTCCTCTTTTAAGTTGTAGGTGTTGGGTATTTTGTCCCAGGGATGTAAAAGTGACTATGATACTTCCCAAAGTGACAGAAACATCATCTCTCTTCCCAAATGCCTTCTCAGATACCCTTCAGCAGTTTGGGACCAAAAGTCAAATTTGCTAACGTTTAACAATTTTGACCAAGAGTTTTTACTAAGTAAGATAGGGACATTTTGTGGTTCCATTTGAGGGTACTTATGCCACAGAGTTCTGTTCTGGAAAAGCACTGGAATGCCAGCACCAGCTGATGATAAGGTGACTCCTCACATGGGCTGCAATAAGGGGGGCACAGACTTGCCCTTCGAAAGCCACACTCACGTTGACTGGCAGAGGACTCCTCCCTCCCTTCTCCCTAAGCCCCAGGCTGGGTCCCCATCAAGGGCACCAGGGAGGAATGAACCTTCTCAGAAGCCTATCAAGAGGCAGCAGGAGTGAGAAAGTGGGCGCCAACAAGCTTAGAGGAAAGAACAGATAGGTCCAGGTCCAGGTCATGTGACTCCCGTTCTGATTCCACCACAGGCTCTCATCACACCCCTCTCTGGTAACGGGCCTTACTGAGTGCTGACTTCCACAGACTGAGTGGGAGAGAAGAGGTGACAGAAGACAGCACTCAGGATGTCAGGGCGGGGTGGCCTGGACATCTGGGCTGTCGAACCAGAGGAAGGAAGGCCGAACGGAACATCCGGTCCTTCCCGGCACAGTTCCGTCCTTGCAAGTGAACATCCCCAGGCTGCCGGTCAGCCAGGAGGCCAGGGCCCCTCACACACACGGTCTCAGTCCCTGACTTTCTCAGAGCACCGAGTACAGGCTCCAGGCCAACCCACACCCACATGAGCTGCAGAGAAACTTAAGGCATTTTTTTTTTTTTTGGTCCTTAGGGAACGGAGAATTTTAGTTTAAAAGAAAGATATAATAAATTTAAGAACCTTACTGACAAGCCACAGTGTTTCATTATCAGAAGATAATGAGGCGGGCTGTAAAAGACAGGTTATGTCTTCAAGGAGCCCCTTGCAGGAGCGATGTCCTCCTCATTATCTTCTGTACCCCCAGGGCTGCGGCATTCTCTGGTACCCAGACTTATACCCAACATGTTATCAGGTTGAGCTTAGAGGAGAAGGCCCAACAAGGGAAAAGATGCGAAGCGAGGGTGTGAGGCCACGAAGGTTGTCCTAGTGGAGTGAGGCCCTGATCACAGACACGAGGCAAAGTGTGCTCCGAGGAGTTTACAGGATGTCAGCTCCCTTTGTGGGCCATCCTCCACCCCTGTACATGGCTGTGTCACCCTAGCAACAGCTCCTTTACTCCTGAGGCATGTGGAGAACAAAGGAGCCTTTCTCTAGAGGCTGCACTGGGAAGGGCCACAGTCTCTGCAGCAGGGCTACAATATAACAGCTCCACAGGGCTCCCACAGCTACCAAAGCTGCAGATAGCTTGCTCCTGCCCACCCTTCTCCAAGAGAGCCAGTTCAAGTGGACCCCATCTTCCGCTCCCAGGAGGACTGAATCTGGTCACCCACAAGGTCACCATCCTCTGTAAGACTCCTCCCGTCTCCTCCCTTTACCTCCACTGCCCCAGCCCCATGCGGTGATACTTACAATCCCTGATAAGGATTTCCCCTTCACCATGTCCACGAACTGGATGGCTATTTCCTCTCCACAGCGGCTCTGGGCTTCCTTGGTGCTGGCACCCAGGTGGGGACAGCTGATGACATTCTCATGGTCCACCAAGGCTCGATCTCGGGGCGGCTCCTGTCCCAAAAGAGATCTTGAAGTTGGTTGTTGTGGATGGACCAGAACCCCCTTGGGCCACCCCAGGTCAAAAGAGAAGCAGAGGGAAGGAAAACAGACAACATACTAGTTAATAAAGCATGTCTAAGTAAATGCAAAAGAATCTAAATTTTACCATGCATATTATCAGATCACAGTGCAATGAGATTAGAAATCAATAGCAAAAGCAATCACAGAAGCTGTGCAAGTATATGGACAACACACTTGACTAATCAATGGGTCACAGAGGAAATTAAGGAAGCAATAAGACAGCTCTATAATTAAATGATAATGCCAGTACAGCATACTAGGAATTATGGGACACAATGAAATCAGTCCTATGAGGGATGTTTATAGCAGTGAATGCCTATATCAGAAAAACAGAGAGAGCCCAAATATATAACCTAATGATACATCTCAAGATCTTAGAAAAACAAGAATAGTCCAGACCCAGAGCTTGCACAAAGAAGGAAATTATAAAGATCAGAGCAGAAATTAATGAAGTGGAGGCTCAGAAAGCAATCAGTGAATTGAAGAGCTGGTTCTTTGAAGGAGTAAATAAAATAGACAAACTCATAGCCAATCTTAAAAACAAACAAACAAACCCAAAACAGGAACGAAGAAATAAATAAATGCAGTTAGAAATCACAAAGTACACTACTGAAATCCAGAAAATTATTAACAACTACGTCACAAACGTATATGTCAAACAAATGGCGTACTCAGAGAAAATGGAGAGAATTATAGATACATATGAACTGCCAAAACTGAACCAAGAAGACTTAAAAGAAAGGAAAAACTACCTTAAACTAAGAAAAGCCCAGAACATGGTAGATTCACAGGTGAATTCGACAATAACTTCAGGGAAGATCTAACATGAATATTCCTCAATTTATTTTTCTCATTAAGTTTATTGGTACTTTTTAGGCATACAGTACAGTTACATTCCTCATTGAGATCTTGCACCTTTACATGACGGGTCTTGGTTTTCATTTTTTCCCCATACCCCTGCCCTCCTTTCACCCCCAACTCCCTTCCCTATTTACAAAAATTTTCCTCAAATTTTTAATGACACCGAGAGGGAAGCAGCACTTCCAAAATCATTTTCAGAAGTTAGCATTATTATCCTGATCCCCAAACCTGACAGGGATTCAAACACAGAAGAGAACTATGAGCCAATTTCTCTAATGAAAATAGATGCAAAAATCCTAAACAAGATGCTGGCAAACAGAATGTAACAAATCATCAAGACTATCATACACCATGACCAAGCAGACTTCATCCCAGGGATAAAAGGATAGTTCATCACATACACAAATCAATAAATATAACTCATCCCATGAACAACAATCTCATGATCATCTTAATAGACACAGAAAAAGCCTTTGACAAAATCCAACATTCATTCATGAAAAAACCCTGAAGAAATTAGGTACAGAAGGATCTTATCGGAATCTGAAAAAAGATGTTTATGACCAACGTATTGCCAACAAACTGAAGATCTTCCACTTAAAATTAGGAACAAGACAAAAGTTGTCCATTATCACCATTCCTGATCAACACAGTCCTTGAGACATTAGCCAGAGCAATCAGGCAAGAGAAAGAAATAAAAGATATATATATATATATATATAGGAAAGGATGAAGTAAAAATATTATTTACAGATGACATGATCCTTTAGCTACAAGATTCAAAAAAACACCACCAAAAGATTACTAGAATTAATAAACAAATTCAGCAATGTAGCAGGATACAAAATAAACACACAAAATCCAATAGCATTCCCACATGCTAATAATGAACTTACTAAAAAAGAAATTAGGAAAAAAATACCATTTAAAATGGCATTGAAAAAATTAAATACTTAGGTGTTAACCTAATCAGGAAGTGAATGAAAGTCCTCTAGAATGGAAATTATATCACCCTGAAAAGGGAAATTGAGGGTATCAGAAAATGGAAAGATATCTCCCATTCCTGGTTAAGCAGAACCAACATCTTCAAAATGGCTATATTTCCAAAACTGATGTACAGATTTTTAACATAATCCCAATCAAAATACCAGTGTCATTTCTCAAAGAACTAGGGAAAATTATCCTAAAATTTATATGGAATCAGAGGAGACCAAAATAGCAAAAACAATTCCGGGTAACAAAAGCAAAACAGGTGGCACTGGGGCCAGGGATTTAGCTTAGTGGTTCCACTGCCTGCCTCACAAGAACAAGGTCCTGAGTTCAATCCCTGGTACCAAAGAAAAAAGCAAAAACAAACAGACTTTAAGTTATTTTACAAAGCCACTGTGATTAAAAACTAAACAAAAGAATGGTATAGGCATAGAAACAGACATGAGGATCAATAGGAAATAATAGAGGACAGAGAACTAGCCCTAAGTATATTCAGTTATTGGCTCTTTGACAAAAGGGCCAAAACACATACTGAAAAAAAGATAGCCTATTTAATAAATGTTGTGGGTAATACTGGCGACCCACATGTAGAAACTAAACTAAATCAAGATGGATCAAAGATCTAAATGCTAAAACAGAAACACTTAATCTACAGAAAAATAAAATAGGTACAACTCTTAAAGACATAGGCATAGGCAAGGATTTTCTAAATAGAATCCCAATAGCACAAGAAATAATAAGAGAATCAGCGAATGAGATCATGTCAAATTATAAATCTTCTTCACAGCAAAGGAAACAACCAATAGAGTGAAGAGACAATTTCAGAATGGAAAAAGATTTTTGCCAGCTATTCCGCAGCCTGAGGGCTAACACCAAGAATATATAAAGAAGAGCCGGGGATTTAGCTCAGTGGTTCTACCACCTGCCTTGCAAGTGCAAGGACCTGAGTTCGATCCCCAGTACCAAAAAAAAAAAAAAAAAAAAAAAAAAAAAAA